ATCAGTTGTTAGTTTTAATATTTACTTACATTGGTTGTTTATGTAGTTTTCTTTGTAATATTTCTCATTATACAACTAATTACTATGGCTACGTAGTTGTATAAGTGGGGGTTGGACATGATAGTTCTTAGAAGCATCAATACTTGAAGGTTATTATAATGACCAAATTCTAAAGTTATGGTTTGCCTTCAACTTGCTTGGAGCATTTCAATTATGCATCAATTGTTCTCTCCGTGTAGTTAACTCTCAGACAAATCGAAAATCTTGCTGATATGTGCTTGATTGTAGTTAAATTTAGGGTTCTACTGCATTGTTGCTTTACTCTTTTTTCGTGGTTGATTCTGCTTCAAAAAATTTAGTTTGATTTTAGAAAATTTTGCTTCTGCAGTCCTGTCTCGCCACCAACGCGTTCAATAGATGGAGACGGGAGAGGCGAATGCTATTTTTGTGTTGTTGTTGGTGGTTTAGGGATCGGTTTGTGAAGAAGAGGGAGAAGAGAGGGGGAAAGGGAAATGCAGGAGAGGGGGATAACTCTTTTCTCCGACAAAAACGGAGTGAAGAAAGGAATTATGATCAGTAAGAATATGGTTATCTTACATAACGGTCTCTATTCTGTTTGAATTGAGCTTGAGAGGCAGTGATAAGGACGAGCTGCAACCAATTCATAGTGAGAAGAGAGCTATGAACTGTGATCATGTCTTATTTCAAGTTAGAAGGTAGTTTCAGTATAAGGATTATTTAATTTGACAAGTTGTTTCGTCCATGATTCTTGGTAGTTTCAGTGCCATTCTAGCCAATGTTTAGTCTGTAATTTTTGAGAATTGATGTGCGAGTAATGACTTTCACTTAGCTTCAACTATTATGTGTGTATTTATTGGCATGTGATAGAATTTTCTTTTCCTTTTCATTGAATTCATTTTCATACTCTAATTGTATTATTTGTACATAGGCAAATCATGCTCGAGATGGCAACTCGCTGATATGGCTGTTGCAAGGAATGAAGCCATCATTAGAATTCAGACCGACAACGGGGAGGGATGCCCAGGACTAATTCAATGATGATTGATGATGGTATAATAAAAACTGCAGTCTGCATCAGCACCAATTTCTAGGCCTAAGTAAAGGTATTCAACCCAGAACTCTGCTTAGCGCTAAAAATTGCCCTCACCCAACCTTGATCCTGTTTGACCCACTTCTGAAGAGTCAAGATATATGACTAATCCTCCCCGTTCGTATTTTCTTATTGAATCTTTCTGACCCTGTAGGTTGGGGCGGGTCGGGAAGAATTGGATTAGTGGGTCGGTCCTAATCAAGTGGAATCCCAATCCCTTCACTCTCACTTGCTTTCTCTCCCATTCCACAAGTGGGTAACATACAGTAATCCGGCCAACGAGCCGGGTAATAAGCTAGTTTTTGGTTAAATACACTTGTATATCCAAAAACACCGTTAAAGAATGTGAAGGAATTGGATATAAGTGGTATTTCGGGAAATTTGGATATTATTGACACAATCGTGAAAGTTTTGGATATACAAGTGCATTTAACCTTTTTTTTATAAGGGTGATATAGGTTTTTCTTTTGTGATTAAGGTACTATTTAAGAGATTCGAATCTGGGACCTCCAGGTTTTAGACTAGTGGTATTACCACAAGACCAAGCCCTTGTTCGGGTAAGATAGTTAGGGCCAAGATCAGGTGACTTAAGGGGGGTCCGTTAGTCACATGACTAAGCCATCTCAACCATTAAAGCTCATTAAAATCTAATGATTCATATTTATCTAGTTTAATGAAGGGTAATGTAGTGAATTACATGGTTTCTGATTAATTTATTTTTCAATATAAATAATAATTAAAAGAGTCTCCGACCGTTGTCTATTTTTGAGTCGCATACCACCATTTTTGGTGTGGCCCAGGGAGGGAGGGAGGGAGGGAGGGAGGGAGGGAGGGAGGGAGGGAGGGAGGGAGGGAGGGAGGGAGGGAGGGAGGGAGGGAGGGAGGGAGAGAGAGAGAGAGAGAGAGAGAGAGAGAGAGAGAGAGAGAGAGAGAGAGAGAGAGAGAGAGAGAGAGAGAGAGAGAGAGAGAGAGAGAGAGAGAGAGAGAGAGAGAGAGAGAGAGAGAGAGAGAGAGAGAATGAGAATTTTCCGACGCTAGTGTTAGATTTGTGATGTTTGTCAACCTGCTTTGTAATGTTTATAAGTCCGGTTTGTAATGTTTATATCAATTTCGGTTTGAATTGTTTGTAATTTTTATCTATTAGGTTTGTAATGTTTATATGACTATTTTGTATATATTGTAATTTGTAATGTTTGTTTGTCTATTTTGTATACTTTTATGCTCTGATTTGTATACTTTGTATTCATCGGTTTGTAATACAAGTTTACCAATTTGTATTGTAAGCAGTGGTATTTTGTACTGTTAGTATACTTTGTAATGTTTGTCAGTTTATTCTGTAATGTTTGTAAGCTTTGTTACTTTTGTAAATAATAATTAAAAGAGTCTCCGACCGTTGTCTATTTTTGAGTCGCATACCACCATTTTTGGTGTGGCCCAGGGAGGGAGGGAGGGAGAGAGAGAGAGAGGCGACAGAGGAGGAGCCTTTTCGGCGACCGGAGACGGCGAATGAGAATTTTCCCACGCTAGTGTTAGATTTGTGATGTTTGTCAACCTGCTTTGTAATGTTTATAAGTCCGGTTTGTAATGTTTATATCAATTTCGGTTTGTATTGTTTGTAATTTTTATCTATTAGGTTTTTAATGTTTATATGACTATTTTGTATATATTGTAATTTGTAATGTTTGTTTGTCTATTTTGTATACTTTTATGCTCTAATTTGTATACTTTGTATTCATCGGTTTGTAATACAAGTTTACCAATTTGTATTGTAAGCATTGGTATTTTGTACTGTTGGTATGCTTTACAATGTTTGTCAGTTTATTCTGTAATGTTTGTAAGGTTTGTTACTTTTGTAATGTTTATCGTTTACTTTTGTAATGTTTGTAAGCTTTGTTATTTTTGTGCATCATGTTTGTAATTTTTGACAACCATGTATGTAATGTTTTTTTTATGTCTAAAAAACAACCTGGTTGACTTTTGAATAAAACTCCTCTATATAGAGATGAAGGCTCCAAAATCAGCTCGGGTGTTTTTTCGATTTTGTATGGTTCGTCGGTCTAGTTTGTCATTTTTGTTGGTTTCAGCTTGTCAACGGCAAAAGCCCATGATCATTCTCACACAGCTTGAAGGCCAAGTCAAGATTCAAATCTCAGCTAAAAATGTGGTGGCTGCCCAAAACAGTTAAGACAAGTTCTCAAGTCAAAGGAAGAAAGAATAAAAACCTACCTTACATGAAAATCTCATGGGAAATTTGAAGGGCAACGACTAGTTTGTAAAAACTATAAAAGGGGATCAGATTGAAGAACTAAACAACCTTTTCAAGTGATCAACAAAGCTAGCTAAGACAAAAGGGGATTTTGTGAGAGAGTAGCAAGATTGATAGAAAAGGGGGTTTCTCAAATGGTTCGAGGAGAATTGCTTTGAGGATTAGTGTTGGGGAAACACTGTTACAAGTTGTTGGGGAAGCAATTCGGGGTTTGAGAAGAGAGAGTTTGATCAATCGGATTGAGATTGATCAAAGGGTTCTTGGGTAGATAGAGTTACATCGAACTTCATCGCTATATCTTTAGTGAATCGTCGGAGATCACACAAAAGTGATTCTCCGACCGTGGAGTAGTCAGTATTGTGATCCTCATTCTCCAAATACTGGAAACCACGTAAAAATCGCGTGTTGGGTTCTTACTTTGCTTTTCTGTTTATCTTCTGTGTGTGCCTCTGCTCTTGTTCTGTTACAGGTTTAGGTGTCCAGGGGAACTCGCTTCAAGAGCAGTTAGAAAGACCACTTGGCTGAAAAGGGTTTGGGAATTTGTTGTAGCTGGGTTTGTTTTAATTGGGTTCACATCTGCCTGGGTTTTATTGCAGTGTTCTAGCTGTTCTTACCCTGTTCTTCACTCGAACAGAAGCAGGACTTTTTTTGATCGAAGTCACTGGAGCGGGAAAGGAAGTTTTGGTTTTACTAATACTCTGTCGTTTTTGTGCTCGTCACTTAGAAGCAGGGTTGGGACAAGAAACTGCTTGGGCTGGGTTTCCGGGTTGGCTTCTTCCATCTGCTTATCTAAGGATATTGGGCTTAGAAGCCCAGTCGAGTGAAGAGTTAGGTTCTGTTAAGTGGGCTTAGTTGGGGTTAAACGTTAATCAGCCTAGCTTAGTTGTGTCATTATACGTCTAGGCTTAAGGTGAAAGGATCAAAGATAGTTAGGATAACTATTAATCATTAACATCAGGTTTGACTTTGAGATTACTTTGTGCTAATCATTATCATTAAGCTTGATTTGTAGCCAAGACAGGTATAAAGTCTCGCGGTCGACGCAACCTACATTTTTTGTCCACCATGTTTGTAATGTTTGTATGTCTAAATAAAACCAGGTTGACTTTGGATTGGAGCCCCTCTATATAGGGATGAAGCCTCTAAAGTCAACCGCTTGTTTTTTCATTTTATATGGTTTGTATTGTTTGTCGGTCTAGTTTGTATTGTTTGTATAGTTCGTATATTTCGTATTGTTTGTAAATCTGTTTGTATGTTTTATCGCTCTAGTTTGTATTGTTCGTATGTTTGTATGGTTTGTACTGGTTGTAAGTCCGGTTTGTATACTTCGTAATTTTCCATAATACCGAAACTAGCCCTGTCATAAACTAAAAGACCCTTCTCACTTTTTAACTGTCATATTGGTGTGTCCAGATCTAATGACTATGAGGGACTTAATCAAGCTAGACCCTAGTCATGAAATCCGTCATCAGATACTTACAATGCTTATCATGATTGTCTATAATATAAACCGATGTTAAAACAATAATATAAATCGATGTTCAAACACTCTCTGGCTTAACAGCCATGGAAAATTTCTGCAGTTGTATGCTAGTAACACTTTGATAGGTGAAGAAATTAAATCCTAATAATTCCGATACCTCCTGTTTTATTTTAAATTTGGGCTATTGCATAGTTAAAGCTACATCTTGAAGTTTGTAATTCATGACTTTCAACGATGGAAACACCTTCAAAACGACTCGAGCTCGAAATACAGCAAATCAGCAAGGCTTATACACACAATGAAACAGTAAAAAGAGGGATCTTCATCTCAACTGGGATATTAATTCAAGAGGATGTCCAAATGTAACATACTAGAGATATTCCTTCCAATATCCAAAATTTTCAGTTCGTGAAAACAAGCAATATGTTCGCCAGACAAAATTCGGCAAGACAGAAACACAACAATGATAAGAAACACATCCAACTAAGCTCAACGGTATCGGCGGAGGGACAGGGTGTTGTTCCTCTTCCATGTGGCCCTGCGAGAAGGTTTGTTCTTGTGGTACAAGTGTCCCTTTCCGCGGAGACCTCTGTACTTCTTTCCGGCAGAGGTGAGACCACGCAGTTCCCTGTGCTTGTGGACGGGGTTGCAGAGCCAGTTGATCCTCGGGTCGTTGCGGATGGCATTGTGAGCCACATCGACAAGAATGACCTCAAAGTACTTGTAGGTTGAATCCTGAAATATGAGAGAGCAGTCAGAATCATATTTCATCAGAAAATATTAAACCAAGTCTCAAGAACAATTCAGGTTGAGCTTCCAACAACCGGATCCGTGGCGCAATGGTAGCGCATCTGACTCCAGATCAGAATTCAGGTTGAGCTTCCACATATCATACCTCATTGATCCAGTAGGAGTTTAGGACCCTGAGACCACCAAGCTTCCTTCCAGCACGCTCCTCAGCCACAGACCTCTTGCTTCTCTGGAACTTGAGTTGGGTAACACCCTGGTTGGTGGGCTTACCATACACAATACCCTTGGGAACTGGCCTCTTCCTGCCTCCACGTCTGACACGGACACGGTAGACAACATAACCCTGCGACAATCATCGAACATTCAATCAATTGATATTATTAGTGCAAAAGAGACAACAAAACTATTGCTAACAAATTCTTACCACAAGTCCTCCAACTAGTTTTATCAGTTGCAATGTCTATGCAGAAACGTAAGAGAAAACAATATGCAGCATAATTGATTGGTTGGAATTTTGGTGGAAAATTCGCGACCACAATACACCTTATCCCTTCCAACAAATACAGCATCGGATTCTGTATTGCATCGAGACAACAGTGAGTTAAGTCGAAAATGAGAACCCACTAGGTCAGATGATCGACTGTGTGGCTTTCTTTCACTGGTCTCAGTAAGCATCCGATCATTTCAAATAACCACCCTCTATAGTAGTGGTTAACATGCATCAAAATGCCGCTAAACCAGCATATATAGGCATTACTAAAAAAAACGCTAAAAACGAGTAACCATCTCTCAAATTAATTACCAAAACAAGTTATAAACACAAGTCAACAATACAAATTCCATCAGAACTCTGGGAAGCTAGGTGATATACAGATTACATCACTGCCACTATTCTACAGCTCGCTCAGATTCTACTAAAATTTCTAGAACTCAACCCGAATCGATGAGCAGGAAATCAAATTTACCTGCTTGGCCTTGTATCCCAAGCGCCTAGCCTTGTCGGGGCGGGTAGGGTGGTTGACCCGAACGATCGATGGGTGCTGGCGATACTCCCAGCACCTCACCCTCTGAAGGAACCGCATAACATCTGACTGCTTCTTCCTCCATAGCTCCGAAACATACTTGTAGGCACCTGTTTACACATTACACGAATCAGAATCCCACTTCCACAAAGATAGCAAAAAGGGATCGAAAATGAGGGTTCACGAATCGTTTCCAACAGAATCAAAGCAAACTATGAACGGAGATGAAGGAGAGAATACCCATTCTGTCGCAGCTGAACGCAACCTGTTACTGCTAGGGTTTCCGCTCACTTAAAGAGAAGAGCTCGAAACTGAAATCCGAAACCCTAATAACGTTTTTATAGACCGACGATGGGAAAATCTGGATCGTCCATCTTGCCCACGTTTAGTTTAGGCATGTCCTTTCACAAAGCCTCGGCGATCCGGCGGCTTTGTGTTTGGCTGACTATCGGGCCGTTTAGCTTTGGGCTGGAATTTTTGAAATAATCGTAACTGGGCTCAATTTGTGCCACTATGGCCCAAATAAACGAATTCGGTTTGGTTGAACCAATAGCGATTTTGTTACCATTTCGGTTCGGTTGGCGGCGGCTCCCGGGAGTCAAAATTTCCACAGCCGTCCCGTCAGCACTCAGCAATACAATTCTACACATTCGACGCCTTGCAGGCAGTTGCAGCTCCCTCCCTCTGTCGCATCCAGAAGAAAGCAGCCATGGCGGTTTCTTACTCTTCCTCACTGTCGACCTTCTCCGCCGCCGCCGCCGCCGCCGCATTTTCGGAAACGAAGCCTTCCATCGGTCCCGCCTCCTCTCAGGCTGTCAGATTTCCCTCCATTTCTTCGGCGCGCCCATTTATCGTGCCATTCACATCCAACTCTCCTGTCGTCCGCAATCAACGCGCATCCTTCGTAGCTCCACGCGCCGCCGCCGAGTCTCCCTCGTCGACCACCACCTCGCCTACCTCCTTCCATGGCCTCTGCTACGTCGTCGGGGACAACATCGACACCGACCAGATCATCCCCGCCGAGTACCTCACCCTCGTCCCTTCGAACCCCGCCGAATACGAAAAGCTCGGCTCCTACGCCCTAATCGGCCTCCCGGCTTCCTACGAGAAGAGATTCATCGAGCCGAACGAGACAAAGACGAAGTACTCCATCGTGATTGGTGGAGAGAACTTCGGGTGTGGCTCGTCTCGCGAGCACGCTCCGGTTGCTCTGGGAGCTGCGGGAGTGGCGGCGGTGGTGGCGCAGTCGTACGCGAGGATCTTCTTCAGGAACTCGGTCGCGACTGGAGAGGTTTATCCGCTAGAGAGTGAGGTTAGGGTTTGCGAGGAGTGCAGGACTGGCGATGTGATAACGATTGAGCTGGGAGAGAGCCGATTGATCAATCACACGACCGGAAAGGAGTACAAGTTGCAGCCGATTGGCGATGCCGGTCCGGTGATCGAGGCCGGCGGGATTTTCGCATATGCGAGGAAGACTGGGATGATTCCGCAGTCTGCTTGAAATCAATCTACAGGTATTTCTTTCAACTCTTTTGACATGCCAGCTGAAGTTCTACTCGTTCCAGTTTCATTTCTTCACAGTTGCAACTTTACTTTACTCCATGTCCTCTACTTTCATGTTTAGAGTTCCTAGCTGCTTGAGTATTTGCCTTGCTGAGTTCCCAATTGGCATTGTTAGGTATTTGAGTATGGAATTCGTTGCTGGAAAAACTGAGAAAGCGTGTTCAAATGCTAGAAAGTCTTTAGCTTTTTTCCAAAGACCTCACAGAGTACAGAGTGAGGGACGGACCGTATGTTATTGGTTTCATAGTAGAACTAACCCAACAATTGTGATAATTCGGGCAGAGGAGATCCTTGCCTAAGATTGACTGCTTGCTTGATTTCAGCAATTAGCTGAAGATGGAGATAGAAAGTGGTTTTTTTTTTGTTTGTATATAAGTGTGTAGTAAGTGTAGTTGATAGGGAGGTCTTCGGTTGCTTTCGAACAGAGTAGTTCCTATACTGATAGTTCGGCTGTAGTGAGACTGCTGCTGCTGTAGAACATATTTCTTAGATGTGTGAAAGTTTCGATTATATGCAACTGAAATAACAGAAGTGAATGTAAGATGTTTAAGGGCAGCAGTCTTGTTTCTGTCAAATGTTCTGTTTAGTTTCGGCTTATCAGTACCAGTTCATACTTCTTTCGGTGGTGACTTGTGGCTTCCTTGAGTCTGTTCCTGTCTATTGAATGTCAGTTATCCCATGTTCTTATCTCTATAATCTGCAATTTTATGTTATATGTATTCCATGTGCAGTGAAGATTAATAAAGTCAGTATCCTTTAAGATTATGCTATGTCAATATGAAAACGTCAAGTTATTTGCCTGATACTTAAGCTAAGCATAGTAATCTATAGATGTGGAGTGTGGATGTCATTTTACTTCTCCTTCCTCTGTTTCTTCTTGTTGTATTGCAGGAAGACATCTTTAGCTTCATGATGAACAATGTTCACAGTAATTTTGTCATCTGAGTTTTGGTTATTGCTTGCCGTTTTTCACATCTTTAGCTTCATAATCAAAACCATGATGGTTGTGTTCTTAAAATCTCATCTTTATCCTCATTTTTGCAGTCGTTTGCAGACTGCTGCGAGATGCATTTTTCAGGACTTGGTCACTTTCCTATATTTCACTATGTCGATAGAAGAACACTGATCATTCTGCCTTCCGTTCCGTCTCAAGCTCTGTCTAGACCGCGGGTGAAGGAGTGAATGGTTGAAGGGCGATGGTGTTCTAGTACCTAGTTTGTTTGAATGTTGTCTAAGAGTTCCATTCCTTATGTTGCTGCAATTTGTTCCTTCGAGCAGGAGAACTGCCATATGTCGTCTAAGAAGAATAACTTAAATATGGTAGGGTTGGTGTCGTACAGTTTTTGTACAATAGTGTTGCTCGCTGTCGCTTGTACCAGTTTTTCAAACATTCAGAATAAGCATCTTTCTTGGTTGCTGGTTGATGCTGTTGTTACTAAAAACTTAAATTTCACACGCTTTCTTGTTTATTGTCATATGATTACGATAGAAATCCTTTTAAAACGAATCAGATTATCAAAATCACGTTACTTTATGCTATTATTACCAACGATCAAACAATCTGCCATAAGAAGAAGAGCATAAAACAAACTCGGAATCCGAATATCTCTATCAAAACACTGGGCAGAAGAGAGGACATGAAGTAAAGTTTAAAGTAGCTAGTTTCTAGCGGAGCCTCCTGGCCTCCCTCTCAGTTTCAAGGAGGGTGATGACGTCGCCGACCCGAACAGGGCCTTTGACGTTCCTAGTGATCTGACGCTTGGTGTTGTCAATGAATTCGACTCTCACTTGGGTCACTTGTCCTCGCGACCCTGTCCCTCCAATCACCTTAATCACCGTCGCGTTCTTCACTCCACCGGCCTCCATTCTCCTTCTTTATCACGAGACTCTTCCTCCCTCCTGCAAAAATTAATCTTGTAAGCAAATCAAATGCAACATAACTATGGTATTTTCTATAACAACTACAAACATAAAGCGCGACGTAACCAGTTGTAACGCAGATCAGCTCTATTCTACATATGAGTATCCGACGAATCCATATAAACCTAATACTTCCTATGAAACGTTGATCCATTGACTTAATCGAACATAAAGCATGGTAATCAACCCCAAACCTTAAACACCATAAACTCATGCATAAATCCAGCCGATTGAGAAACAAAAAGAAAGCATGTAAATCGATGGAGGAGATCCGAAAACTAAATTATAACCAGATCTCGTCGTAATGGTGATCATCGGCCGAGAAACAAACAATCCACTTATCTTACTTTCGTGATACAGAAAACTAACCAAAGAGTATAATGAGAAACAATGATTGCTGACACTAACCTTAATTAGGGTTCGGAGCGTTGTAGGGGTTTGAGAGACGTAGCTAGGTCGAGCAGTTTTCGTCTCAAGTTTGATCTGTGAGCAAGGAATATGTTGATCTTTGGATCTATATATAGATATCCGTATAACCCTAACAATTGAATTATTAAAGCCTAGGTAACAAACCGTGATTGATTAGGTAACCGGCTCGGTAAAAGGGGAGGGAGAATCCGCCAGTGAGGCACAGAATATTTGAACAAAAATAAAATAGTAATTTCTTTTTTTATTTCTTCCTTTTTTGCGGAAAAACAAAATAGTAATATAAATTCTTAAACGGTCAGTTACTCGGTTGGGAATTGGGATGGAAAAAGTTAGCAATTAATTATGTAATAAAATTCGACCAATACTTGTGATTTAGGTCACCTAATTCGCGGAACAAGGGCTGCTGCTCGCCTGCTCCCGCTCTAGCGCGTGTAAATGCGAATTTTCAGTAATCCGGCAATAATTCGCGAACTAAAATTTTTTGGAGCGCGAATTATATTTTTTGGAGCGCGATCTTCCCATGGAAGATCCTGGACGGCATCGGACTCTCAATCGACGTTCTCGGCCTCCGTCAGCTGTTCCTAGAGCTCCGCCGTCCCCACCCCTGAGTTCGAACAACTAATTCCTAGAGCTACCTTACGTCCTTACCCCGGCAAAGTCGATGGCATCCTCGCTCCCTCCACCATGGGTTGCGTGGAGTTTCAGCCTCCCGTTCCCAATGATTATTCAACCATTTCCGCAGCGACGTACCACCGCTACCGCAAACAGACGGCGGACTCCGCTACTTTCCAATTCAATTCAGCTTGCTCGACTTTTGGAGAGTCCAATTAAACCTGTTGATCTATTACAAGATATAAGAGAGAAGTCTGATCTTAGATTGCATGGAGGAGAGGGTACCTTTTGATCGGTAGAAAAATTGGAGATCTAATGCTCTTGCTCTAGGTCACGGAAAGAAAGAGATAATAGTTATTTGGGTTAATATTTTCGTATGGCCTGAACTTTGATCAAAATAAACATTCTAGCCAATCTTTTCGATCTATAACATTCGGGCCCGAACTATACACCAAAATAAACAATTTGGCCAAACCCGATGTTTGACCGTTAACTTGGACGGTCAAACGCGTTGACTAACGGTCAACGCGCCACGTCACTGCCAAGTTAGAAGATCTGATAAATATTTAATTTTTTTCGTTTTTTATTTTTGGTTTAACTAAGGTATTAGATGATTTTTTTAATTTATAATAATTTAAAATTAGGAAATGTGTGAAAATTGTGAATTATTTTAAATATTTTATGCTGACTTGGCAGTGACATGGCGCGTTGACTAACGGTCAATGCGTTTGACCGTCCAAGTTAACGGTCAAAAGTCGGATATGGCCAAATTGTTTATTTTGGTGTATAGTTCAGGCCGGGATGTTATAGATCGAAAAAATTGGCCAGGATATTTATTTTGGTCAAAGTTCAGGCCATACGAAAATATTAACCCTAGTTATTTTGTGATGGGGAAGAATGGAAAATGAGTGTTGCCCAGCGAGAGAGGAAAAAAAAAAAGAATATAAAATAAGTTAATAGAGAAAATATAAGAAAACTAAAAGAAATACTAATTTCTCAAAATAAAAATATATTTGTCCTCTTTTCATTATCATATTCTTACGTAAATTTTTTCAATGATTATGTCATGTACTATTTTTTATTAATTATATTATAACAATAAAAATAATATAATAATGGCGCTCTCTTTACGCTCTTAATATCAAATTCTTATAATATAGGCGCTTTCACGCTCTCGCTACCGCTCCCGCTCTCGCTCCCGCTCCCGCTCTCGCTCCCGCTCCACGAACTGGTTAGCTAACTTGTGATACGGAATTAATTATGTATAAAAATTCCGACTTCCAGTTTGATCATTTTAGATAAAGTATTCACAAATCTACATCTACCGTCTACACTATCATTTATAGCAGAAAATTTTAACTACAACCAACATTCAAAAAATCCTGACATTAGAGTGATTTTCGGGATGCTGACGTGGCTGGATTCAATAGCGGCGGTTACCCTCAATCTTTTCGCCGCTCGGTGTTTGGTTTTCGGTGCCTTCCAGCCTTCACCAGCATCTATTACCCTTTCCGAACTTCCTTATCTGCGCCTCACATTCTACGCTGCTCAAAACCAAAACCTACCTCTGCAAAGGCTTCTCCATACTTCCCGCGTAACCGTTCTTCGTGGGGGATTTAATTTCTTCACATTCGCCTCTTGGAATCATAGTTCCGATTTACCCTCTGCTTGAAGCTCTACCGACTCCCTACCTTAATCAAGCCTTAATCTGCCATATCCGTAGGCGAGCCCATCCAAGTGAATCATCTTCTCGAATCACCTTCACCGACGGAAACGTAGCCATTGATTCGACTGGACAAGCTGTTCATCCCGTCGGAGACACAAGACCTGCTCAACGACCAGACCACAAGGTTCTCAAGGGCTCGAACATAGTGCTGAGCAAGTACGCCAGGGATACCCAGGTGGTGCAGGCTGAGTTCATGAAGAGCAACATGAGGATTGCCCCTCAGAATCAGTTCTAGCTCGTATTCTTCAATTTACCCTCATCAAAATCTGGGGTTAGGGTATGAATTGTGTCGTTGTGTTGTTTTCTTCTTCTGCAGGTAGCTGTACTTTCGGGAGCTCATTGTGTGATTTCATTTATACAACGTCATATTCCCGATCCATGTAATTTTAATTATTAGGATTATGAACTTTTCATTAGCTTCTAATGATGCTCTATTAATTTTTTTTGTGTTCCACAGTTGCCTCTTCAGTTTTGGTAGTCCAAACCATCTAATTGGGTTCTCAATCCAACAGTGAAGGTTATCCCCTTCTCTATGGCGCATCCTTCTCTTATTTATGCAGCAGTATCATTTCTCTATGTATATTGGCAACATTAAGCTATTATTTATGCAGCAATATTATTTCAAAGCAACATACTTGCAATGTGTATAAAATACTTGCAATGGGATACATAGAAAGCCACTGTAAGGCATAAAGCAAGTTGTGTGATCTTTATATCAAGTTTGTCATATTGTTGATTACGTATCGCTACTCTTTTAACCTACATTTCATGACTTCGTTTTTAACTAGGTTACAAGCTTATTAGAGTGACTTTTGACTTACATTTCATGACTTTGTTTTTAACTAGGTTGAAAGCCTATTAGAGTCAATCTTTGGAGCATCTCTAGAGTCAATCACAGTCTTTCGATTTTTGAATTGGGTCTTTGTTTACTCAGTTCCAAGCTATTGTTCTCATTTCAAGCAATAAAGGATCCACATTTGATTTGTCAACCGCATGCAAAAGATGCTAAATGCTACTTAAGATATAATTGCAGTAAGAAGTGATTGTGAGTTGCATCCCAGATAACATACATTGTGAAATCGGAGAATAAAACTAAAGTGTTTCCCTTTTAAGGACTTCAGAGCATCAAAGAAGGTCTGGTCCCGAACGTAATCATTCTTGGCTGGGAAGACCTCATCAACTATAGCTCTAAAATTGATTGATATGAATGAGACATCAAACTCTGCATAGTCATCCGAATTCTAAGGTGGACAATGAACTGTTTCCTTGATGGTGACCATACCACACACAATTTTGAGATCAGTCCACGAATGAGGTATTCCTGTCCCTGGAAAGTACGGACAGCGGAAGCCCTTGTTAAGTGAGTAGTAACGGCTACAAATATTTAAATTATAAAGCTCCAAATTGAAACAGAGCCACTTGTTACAATCGGGTATATCAATGCTAATAAAAAGGAGTTGCACAGCAAAACTACAGAAAATGACAATTCAAACATAAAATGTAAGTAATGGAATCACATGTTTGGTCCACCATATAGAGAATGAGGACAACTTGGATCAATTGGATTAATTGAATGAAATAGAATTAATACGACCCTGGGGTGTATTTTTATCAAAGTCACGCAGCAAACAATCAATCCGAAGATTGATTGAACTCGAACCAAGAACAACGCGTTCTTAATACGAAAATTGGATAAAACGCAACCAACGGACAATTCCACACCTGGGGAAAGCTCGTATGGTATAAAAGAGTAGTTGCTCAACCACGATTGAAGTGACTATTCAATCAATACACAAGCTCGGCAAGTTTGGAATCCACCAAACCCTAAACAAGTCGCAACTTGCACAAACCAAACGGTTTCGATTTCTATTCAACAAAGTCTGTCTTATTACAACGTAAATAGAAGGCTATTTATAGTCAAGAAAATCTAATACAAACCTAATGTAACTAGGACACTATTAAGGTAAAAACAAACTCTAAAAATAGTGTAAACTCGGCCACAAAGTCTCTTTCTTCAAGCACAAGCAAGCTGCCAGTAAAACAGTCTAAAGGCAGCTTTCGTACTAACTCCGATGACCCGACCTGCAAAACAGGGGCAAGGCGGGTGGAGAATCAGAATCGTCATCCTCCCCGACTTCATACGAAAGCAGAGATGGGAGGCAAATCTGGAGATGAGCTA